GCCTCATATCCTAACCATCAGCAAATTCTACAGACCTTATATGAAATATAGGCAGAATCTAAGCACCACTCACCATGTCTAACCACATCCTAATCACATCTCCTTGAGGGACTATGAATATACTTTTCCACTCCTGGAACTCACTTCACCGATATGGCTGCATAGCTCATGCCCTTGCATCTTACATCTCCAGTGTCACTGTCCAAGAGGCCCATCAACAGAGCAACACTCCTGACCATTGTCATTCTCTGTATCTTTTTCCTGTTTTATATTCTTTTTCATACTTATTTTATTTTTTTGAAAATGACAAATCTCTCCCCCCGACACACATACACTAAAATATGTTGTATGTACTATGAGAACTGGGACTTTGTTTTTATTGAATGTTTTATCCCTAGTGCCTAAAACAGGGCCTGGCACATAGCAGGTACTCAATATGTACTGAATAAATGAATGAATAAAAAAAACTGTTTGAATCGGACATTTCATCAGGCATTTTTGTACTGCATTATCTTTCAGCTCACAGTCCTATTCTGTGGGTGTGGAATATGTAATGTGTGGTAAAAGATGACATCCAGTGGGGAAAAACTGATACAGCAATTTTAGGTTAAACAGATATAAATAATCTCATTCAATATAAGAAGCTGGTATCTCCAAAGAGGCCCTGTTTTAGAATTAGCCCTAGTCCAAACTTATGACTGTATCAAAATAAACTAAACCTGGTTCTCTAAAAGAAAAGAATCATGTGATTATTAATTGTAAGTAAAAATAACATCTCCCCCCTCTCATCTGTAGATCTCTGATAAAGAACTTGAGGGTGATAACTCAATAGAAACTTAGCCTAATAATTCATCCTGAGACAAACTTACTGTTTTAAAAAAATCTCCATTTCTATTATTGTGAAATTAAAAGCTGGCTATTAAAACATTCCATTTTTTTTCACTGTGTATCCCAGAAATGGAATATTTCCCCTCCCTCTGCCATACCAGTTAACAGCATTGTATGGGCTTCCCTGGTGGCTCAGATGGTAAAGAATTTGCCTGCAATGCAGGAGACACAGGAGACCAGGGTTTGATCCCTGAGTTGGGAAGATCCCCTGGAGAAAGGAATGGCAACCCACTCCAGTATTCTCGCCTGGAGAATTTCACGGAGAGTAGCCTGGTGGGCTATAGTCCATGGCATCACAAATAGTCGGACACAACTGAGCAGCTAACACTTCCGCTTTTTCTCATGAATGTGAGTAAAAAAAAAAAAAAAAAAAAGATGGAATTTCCAAAGCTGACAATTTTCTCAAACAGGATTTTCAGTGAACTTGAGATAACACTGACTCATTACGTTTCTTAATCCTAAGATTCTCCCTGTATGTCACAATCAATAAAAGACTTCAGCTGCCAACTTCCCTCAGTTGGTGTGGATATAAGGCCAGCTCTACATGATGGAGAATGAAGAGCCAATCAGGTGATGTTGCAAATTCTCTCCACAAGTTCTATGAAGAAATAGCCAGGGAGCCCACCTCCCAGGCCACTGGAAAGCTGCTTATGCGCTCAGAATCCTGGGAGGAGAAAGCTGTGCAGAGGGTACTAGAGGGAAGTGCAGTGCAGAAGGAAGGAAATGGAGCCCTGGAGAGTGAGAAATGCTAAGCACAGCATCTGGAGGAGGGCATGCACCTGTTCATACCTGCAATAAGCCACACCCAGCACTCAGCACTCACCCTCCCGTCTCTACCTTTGTCAGAAAGTGCCAGGGTGCACCTCCGGGAAGCAAACCAGTCAGTGTGTGAACTGGAAAGTCTCTGACTTGCAGACACCTGCATGGGCTGGGTGTGGAGTCCCACTGCAAGAACAAAGGTGGCCTGACTCTGCCATGGTCTGGCCCCGACTTCCCCTCTGGCTGCACTGAACACGCTCTGGCTTTGCTTGTGGGCTCCGGTTTCTCAGGCCCTTCCCTCCCGCCTCAGGACCTTCGCAGACTGTTTGCTATTCAGAGTGCTCTTAGCCACAGTTGCCTTGAGCACATCACTAACCTCAGAGACCTTCTGAGAATAAGAACCTGATGTGCGAGGCCTGTAAACCACCACAGACGACTTTGGTTTTACTCTGAGAAAGATGTGAAGATGATGGAGGCATCTGAGCAACCGGCTACCACTTAGGTTTTAAAAGCGTCACCGTGGACTTCCCTGGTGGTCCAATGGTTAAGAATTCACCTGCCAATGCAGGTACAGGGGTTCGATCCCTGCTCTGGGAAGATTCCACATGCCTCAGAGCAACTAAGTCTACACGCCACAACTACTGAGCCCAAGCCCTAGAGCCTCTGTTCTGAACAAAGCCCCTGCAGTGAGAAGCCCACATACGACAACTGGAGAGTAGCCCCTGCTCATCGCAACTAGAGGAAGCCCAAGAACAGCAACAAAGACCCAGGGCAGGCAAAAATAAATAAACAAAAAACAGAGTAAATAAAATTCTTAAAGAAAGTTTAAGGGCTTCCCACGTGGCACTAGTGGTAAAGAACCCTCTAGCCAATGCAGGAGACATAAGAGATGTGGTTTCCATGCCTGGGTCAGGAAGATCCCCTGGAGAAAGGAATGGCAACTCACTCCAGTATTCTTAGCTGAAGAATCCCATGGACAGGGGAAACTGGCGAGCTACGGCCCATAAGGTTGCAAAGAGTTGGACATGATTGAAGCAACTTAGCATGCAAAGAAAGCTTAAAAGGGTCACCATGGCTACTGAATTGAGAGAGGATAGAGACAAAGGAAGATCAATTTGGAGGTAAGTGGAGTAATCAAGCAAGAGATGGTGGTAGAGAGAGAAGGTGGCAGAAAGAAGCTGGGAAGAGAGGGTGGACAGGGTTTGCTGATGGAATGACAGGGAGGCAGGAAAGAGATTTGTAGGAGCAGTGTGTGTTCACGGGAGGGTCAGGAGTTCCATTTTACACTTATTAAGTTTGATGTGATTATTAGATATCCTTCGAGGGCATCAGGTAGCCATCAGGTCTCCATCAGGTAGACAGCTGGATATACTTGTTGAGAGGGAGAGACCTGGGATGCAGTTAAAGCAGTTGTATTTGACATAAAGATATTTAAAGCCACGGAATCAGATGGGATCATCAAGGGAGTGTGTGCAGATGGAGAAATGCCCTGAGGACTGATTTTGGGACCTTCAACACAGGATGGTCAGGGAAACAGGAGCAACTACCTAAAGAGGCTGGGCAACAGCAAACAGTGGAGAGAGTAGGTAAGTCATGGACATGGTGGAAGATTGGGAAGTAAGGCAGTGTGGAGAGCTTGTGTGAATAGAAGCCCAGTCATCTATATAGAAAAGGCAGCCAACAGTTTTCAACATGGAGGAGAAAACTGCAGAATTCAGACATTATTTAGAAATGCGTAGGCGAAAACAATCCAAATGTCCATTGACAGATAAATAGATAAAGAAGATACGGTACATATATACAACGGAATACTACCCAGCCTTTTTTCACAGGACTCTGAATTGTTAGAAAGAAAGACATGGAAATATTTACATCTGTAAAGAAATGTAAAAGTGAAAAAAGAACATGTTTGAAATAATCTTTGTACTCCTCACTCTATGTTTAGCAACCTTTGTGAACACTGAATTAAAATGCTACTGGTTTCTTAAATTTATTGTTGAAAATGTTGTTGTCAAATAACATTTGATATCACTCATATGTGGAATTTAAAATATGACACAAACGAACCTATCTACGGAACAGAAACAGACTCACAGCCATAGAGAACAGCCTTGCGGTTGCCGAGGGGAAGTGGGCTGGCGGAGGGATGGAGTGAGAGGCTGTGGTTAGTAGGTGTAAGTTTTTATAAATAGAATGGATAAACAATAAGGTACTAACTGTGTAGCACAAAGAACTATATTCAATAACCTATGACAAACCATAATGGAGAAGAATATTTTTTAAAAAAGCAATGCATATATATGTATGATTGAATCACTTTGCTATGCAGCAGAAATGAACACATTGTAAATAAACTATATTTTAATTTAAAACTTAGATCTGTATATTACTTTAATAAAAAATTAAAAACAACCAGTCAGGAAAAAAATGCATGAGCTAAATAAATGCCTAAGGGCTATGAAATAATGGCCAAAAGCCAGCAACTCCATATAGTCAGGGACTGTTTACCTATTGGGTAAGTAAGATCTTGGCTCTTACATGAACTGTATCTTTTAAATGTAAACACTGCTTTTATCACTACAAGTTAAAGCCATTCCTGAAACTCCAATAATGTTTAATCATTGATGATTTTACCATTCAAATGATACTAAAAATATAACTGCTACTCTGTGACCATCCATATAATGTTTATAAATTTAACTTTAAAAAATAGCTCCTCTCTATATATTTAGCAACCTTTGTGAACTTTGAATTAAAATTCTACTGGTTCCTTAAATTTATTAGAATGCCTCTATAATAAGCTCTTGGAAGGCAGAGATGATATTTTCTTTATAGATGTAAATATTTGCATGACTTTCTTTCAAACAGCTCAAAGTCCCAGGAAAAAAGAACATATTCAAATAATCTTTGTACTTAGAACAGTTGTCAACAAAGGTGACAGTAATAATTAACATTTCCTTTGCGCTTTCCCTGTGCTAGACACTGCTTTAAGCACTTTACATATATTTTCTCTTAACTACTATCGTGGAAACAACAGTCTTATGGTTTCTGGAAGTTGGTACTGTTCTTATTGTTCCCATATCACAGAAGAGGAAACTGAAGCACAGAGGTTGGGTAATTCCCAGGATGTATACAGAGTGAACAGCAAAACGAGGGTTAGGTGCTAATGTCTTTCCAGAGCTTTAGCTCTTAATGTTTATGTAGAATATTAATGTCTGTTGGTAAAACCACTGAAATAATAAACACACTGGCAATTTATTTTGACTAGTGTAGAAAATAAGATCACATTATTCACGGATAGCATAACTTCTCCTTATGTGTATTTGAAAGGCTGTTGCTTTTAACAATCTTACCTTTTCCTTTTTTTTCTGGCTCATCTGCTTTCTTATTTGTTTCTGAAAGGCAGAGACAAAACAAAGTAAGTATTGTGAGAGTTACAATTCAAAATCTCAAATTATAGGACTATCTTTAAATGAGTTCAAATATGAGTTCAATTCACAATATTTCTGGGATTAAGAGATACACGCTATTATACATAAAATAGATAAACAACAAGGATCTACTGTATAGCGCAGGGAACTATATTCAGTATCTTGTAATAATGTACAATAGAAAATAATTTTATATATATATATGACTGAGTATATATATATGACAGTATCACTTTGTGATATATGTAAATATATACATCACTGAATCATTGAAACTAACACAATATTATAAATTAATTATACTTCAATTAAAAAAATTCTGGGCTAACAATTCGATTTTCCTAAATCCTAAATTCTTCACACATGTAATTTATTATAAAATATTAAGAATTTGAATTACTTATAAAAGTCACCAAGCAGTAAGCAGGTTTTGGGTGCCAGGCTGAGTGTTCCTGGTCTACATAAGGGGTGATGGGAGCCACCTCCACCAATATAAGCGCCTCTGTGGGCACAAACTGAGTCCAGAGAAGACTCACTCAAAGCCGATCCAATAGCTTTATTGTCTCTTAAAGCCATACACTGCTTTATAACAGGGACTGTGTGCTTGAAAGGATTGTAGCAGGCCATCCTACTGAGAACACTAACCTGACTCAAGGACTTCCTACATCCACAGGTGACCCACAGGGGTGCCCACACTGAGCCCAGGTGGGACATAGCAGTTAGAGGTAGACCAGTCAATTTCAGTCCCAGTAGGTATCTACCTAGTCTTTGAGAATTTCTAGGTACACATGTGTACAGATGAGTTGCAGTGGGGATGGCGCAGAGTTTGGCAGTCTGCTTAAAAAAAATCAGATTCCATCCTCTCCCCAGAGTAGATGCAAGAGGGTGTGAGTGCTGTGCAGGTTGGGTTCAGGGGTGCAGGCAACATCATTCAATTTCTTGATGCCCAGTTTCCCACATTCATTCATATAAAACGTTTCAATTTTTGGAGGCAAGAGGTAAATCTGAGGCTCCTGATACAAGGAGAGGATTTTTTATCAGTCAAGTGTTTCTCCTTTGAGATCCCCAGGGGAGAGAAAGCAAACTGACTCAAAAGCGTGCCAGGCTTGGTGCCAAGCACAAGGCACATCTTTTGCCTCCTAACATCCTCTGCAGATGGGGAAAGAAATGGTAACCCACTCCAGTATTCTTGCCCAAGAAATCCCATGGACAGAGGAGCCTGGCGGGCTACAGTCTGTGGGGTCACAAGAGTCAGACAGGACTGAGCAACTAAACAACAACCACCCTCTGCAATCTCCTTCTTCATGCAGAGGAGGAGGCTGAAGCTTGACAACGTAGAGTGTCTAAGTCATCAAGGTCAGTGGTGTATTTGACTCCAAAATAGACATTCTTTTCACCATGCCAGTCTCTAATTTTGTTGAAAGGGAAACAAAGGGGAAAAAAAGTGCAGGTCTTGACTTTTGCAAAGGGAGGGTTTTAAAAAGTTGGCTGGGAAACTTCCCTGGCGATCCAGTGGTTAAGACTTCACCTTCCAGTGCAAGAAGTGCGGGTTTGATCCCTGGTGGGCGAGCTAAGATCCCACATGCCTCGCAGCCAAAAAACCATAAAGTAACATTAAACAGAATCAATACTGCAACAAATTCAATAAAGGCTTTTAAAAAATGGTCCACATCAAAAAAATCTTCAAAGAAAAAAAATGTTGGCTGCCACACATTTCCTGGTCAGTGCTTCAGGAGGCACAGGATATAAAATAGACTTCCTAATCTCTGTTGAACATTCTAGAATTTCTGATCTTATTAACTGTACCCTTGTCATAAAGGGCTTCCCGGGTGGCTCAGTAAAGAACCCGCCTGCAATGCAGGAGACCTGGGTTCGATCCCTGGGTCTGGAAGAACCCCTGGGGAAGGAAATGTCAACCCACTCCAGTATTCTTGCCTGGGAAATCCCATGGAGGAGAAGCCTGGTGGGCTACAGTCCACAGGGTTGAAAGAGTCAGACACGACGTAGTGACAAAACCACCGCCATCATAAGGTTAGGCAGTGCATCATTTAGTAGGATGCACTTGAGTTTGAGTAAGCTCTGGGAGATAGTGAAGGACAGGGAAGCTTGACGCGCTGCATTCCATGGGGTGGCAGAGTCGGGCGTAACTGAACAACAAACTCTTGTATCAGGGATACAGGATAGAAGAGAAGTATCAAAAATCTCAATTTCCAAGGATCTCTCTTTCTGCGGCACCAGCGATACGTGCAGGAAGGCTGGGAGTATCCCCCGCCTCCAGTAATGTTACCTGGCATATGGCTAGTGTAATTTAGACAAATCAAGCATAAAATGCAAGTTTCTCAGTTGACTGTAGAACACTGGTGGGTGGTGGTCATGAAGAAGATTTTAGAGCTGTCCGGAAATCTTCCTGCCCCCAGGGAATCCAAGGAAGGAAGAGTGGATTGAACTGGTCATCTTTTTTTAGTTTTTTTTTTTTTTTTGATGTGGACCATTTTCAAAGTCTTTATTGAATTTGTTACAATATTGCTTTTGTTTGGTTTTTTGACTAAGAAGCATGTGGGACCTTAGTGCCCTGACCAGATAGTGAACCCGAACCCCTGCTTTGGAAGGCAAAGTCTTAACCACTGGATCACTGGGGAAATTCAGAACTGATCACTGTTTAAATAGGTGTGGCAGGCCCCTGGCCAGGTATGCTCCCAGGAACCAGGGTTACCATCTTTTTTCCTCCTGTACTGCAGTTACCTAGGATGACAAGAGGCTGAACTAAGAAGGCCTAGCCCAGATGGTCCAACCCAGGGGCAAAGGCCCCAGGTTCTGTTCCCTTCTGATCCCACTGCTTCAGCAAGTTGAGATGTGAGACAGGAGCTTGGGTGTGGAAAATACACAGAGTAGGGGATTTTCACCTCCGGGGTTTTCAGTGCTTAAATTCAGCTTAGGTAGAGTTTTCAAAGAGCTTCAGCTTACCCCACTAGCATTCTGCATAATATAATAGAGTGTGACTTTGCTAGTCTTTAGTCTTTGCACCTGGGGCTTCCCAGGGAAGACTCAAATGGCCCTCAATGTGCCAAAAAGGAAAATGATTGATAACACTTAGCTAGCTGCCAGGCGTTGTTCTCAACACTTAATGCAGATTGTCCCATTTAACTCTGAAAGGTAGTTTTAATTCCATAGATGATAAAAATGGCTGAGAGAGGCTACGGAATATTGCCAAGGGTTGCAGAACAATTAAGAACTATTTCAGAAGACCACACTCTACAATACTATACTCCACATATTCCAATAGTGGGCAGTCCATACAGTCTACACTCAGTCCAACCCAGAAAATGACAGAAGTACAAGCTTAGCAGTAACTCAGATTTAGTAAATAAACACATACCCCCAAAGAAACAGAAACTACACATCTTCTAACGGTGCTAACTTTTTCAACACTATTTTATTAAAGAAAACCTTACTAAAGAGAATAGAATCTTCACCTTTTAAAAACTGTCATACAACCATTAAGAAAAAAATCATTTTTGTATATTCAATTATTTTGAATTTCAGCTGCTGTGCTAATGTGCCTACTGGCCAATTCTTGTGGGCAAATCTAATTTGCATCCAGGTCTGTGTGTCCTGAGCTCCCAGTCACACTGGCATCTGTTGTCCCTGCTCCAAGACCCAGCCATGGGGCTCTGCCTCTCCTGACTGGGTCCTGCCTAAGTCACAAGGTCCCTGTCCTCCCTCTCCACTAGCACTTTTGCAGTCAGATCCTATCACCACATCACCGGGGTTCGTACTCCTCCGTGACCTGACTGCCCTCTGCTTGCTCTTGGTTGCCCTCTAGTTGTTCCCACCTTCCTCTGGGCGCCCGCCTGTACGCTCTAGACTCTAGGCTGTGAATGACCTTGACTGGCAGGCACTGCAGCCACTCTGACCCTCAGTCTCTTCATCTGCAAGCCTGGGAGTAACACCCAGGTGCCTGGAGCCTCCACGCCCTAACTCAGCACTTAGCATCGCCCGTGCAGCAAAACGGGCCTGCTTAACCTTAAAGGTTTTTTCTGTTTCTTCTGAGCACCTTGGAGGAAAAAACAACACTTTCTAGAACCCCAGGAGCTTCATCCATTCGTGTCTCATTCTCCTTCACTGCCCAAAGAATGAAGATAGAATCTTCTCTTCCCTTTGCTACGCTTCCAGTCGCTCAAACTCCTCGTTCTCTCAACCAGGCTGAAGACTGATCCTCACCGAGTGATCGTCATGGAGGACCAGAGGGTGCAGATGAATGAGTGACCTTGCCAGGGACTTATCAGAACTTCTAGGTGCCGGACAAAAACCTACACAGCATGATGCAGGGACTATTTCATCTGAATTCTGCCCCTCAAATTGTAGCACTGTAGTAAATATTAAACAAAATAAACATTACCTACTAGAAATAGGTAAAGAAAGAGGTTGAAGGTACTCCTTTGTGATTTTAATCACCAAAAGTGCTAGAATACCCTGAAATATTAGAAAATATAAAATGAACCGATGTTATGGAAAGAAATAAAAAAATATACTCTAAAATAATGACAATACAGAGAAGAATTCTTCTGCATTTTATTGCACTCAAATGACATTAAACAGAAGACATTTACATTATTTTTAGAAAATCCATTGATATTTCCCAGCTTGGCATATATTTGTAAAGACAAGGCTCATCCATCAAGATATTTGGAATTAGAAAGTATCTGAATATGACCACAGCATAATGAATCCTCAGTTTCCAGAGTTCTAGAGATGATTATATACAAAAACCCAGCGAAATTTATCTTATGCATTTATCAGTTCTATGTCATTCCTGTTTCTCTAAAAAAATATGGCTTTATTAAAAAGTAGTGTTCTATAATTCGCAATACGAAGTTAAGAGCTTTATTAGATTTTTGAGTAGCAACTCTGTATTACCCAGATCACAGCTTCAGAAAATTATTGCTCTTTTACTAATGTATTAC